AGCTCTGGCATATCTCATCACAGAGTCTACTCCAGCACCTCTGGCATATCTCATCACAGAGTCTACTCCAGCAGCTCTGGTATATCTCATCACACAGTCTACTCCAGCAGCTCTGGTATATCTCATCACACAGTCTACTCCAGCACCTCTGGCATATCTCATCACAGAGTCTACTCCAGCACCTCTGGCATATCTCATCACAGAGTCTACTCCAGCACCTCTGGTATATCTCATCACAGAGTCTACTCCAGCAGCTCTGGTATATCTCATCACACAGTCTACTCCAGCAGCTCTGGTATATCTTATCACACAGTCTACTCCAGCAGCTCTGGTATATCTCATCACACAGTCTACTCCAGCACCTCTGGCATATCTCATCACAGAGTCTACTCCAGCACCTCTGGCATATCTCATCACAGAGTCTACTCCAACAGCTCTGGCATATCTCATCACACAGTCTACTCCAGCAGCTCTGGCATATCTCATCACACAGTCTACTCCAGCAGCTCTGGTATATCTCATCACACAGTCTACTCCAGCAGCTCTGGCATATCTCATCACAGAGTCTACTCCAGCACCTCTGGCATATCTCATCACAGAGTCTACTCCAACAGCTCTGGCATATCTCATCACAGAGTCTACTCCAACAGCTCTGGCATATCTCATCACAGAGTCTACTCCAACAGCTCTGGCATATCTCATCACAGAGTCTACTCCAGCAGCTCTGGCATATCTCATCACACAGTCTACTCCAGCACCTCTGGCATATCTCATCACACAGTCTACTCCAGCAGTTCTGGCATATCTCATCACAGAGTCTACTCCAACAGCTCTGGCATATCTCATCACAGAGTCTACTCCATCAGTTCTGGCATATCTCATCACAGAGTCTACTCCAGCAGCTCTGGCATATCTCATCACAGAGTCTACTCCAGCAGTTCTGGCATATCTCATCACACAGTCTACTCCAGCAGCTCTGGCATATCTCATCACACAGTCTACTCCAGCAGTTCTGGCATATCTCATCACAGAGTCTACTCCAGCAGCTCTAGTATATCTCATCACAGAGTCTACTCCAGCAGCTCTGGCATATCTCATCACAGAGTCTACTCCAGCAGCTCTGGCACATCTCATCACACAGTCTACTCCAGCAGCTCTGGCATATCTCATCACACAGTCTACTCCAGCAGTTCTGGCATATCTCATCACAGAGTCTACTCCAGCACCTCTGGCATATCTCATCACAGAGTCTACTCCAACAGCTCTAGTATATCTCATCACAGAGTCTACTCTAGCAGCTCTAGTATATCTCATCACAGAGTCTACTCCAGCAGCTCTGGCATATCTCATCACACAGTCTACTCCAGCACCTCTGGCATATCTCATCACAGAGTCTACTCCAGCAGCTCTGGCATATCTCATCACAGAGTCTACTCCAGCAGCTCTGGCATATCTCATCACAGAGTCTACTCCAGCACCTCTGGCATATCTCATCACAGAGTCTACTCCAGCAGCTCTGGCATATCTCATCACAGAGTCTACTCCAGCAGCTCTGGCATATCTCATCACACAGTCTACTCCAGCAGTTCTGGCATATCTCATCACAGAGTCTACTCCAGCAGTTCTGGCATATCTCATCACAGAGTCTACTCCAGCACCTCTGGCATATCTCATCACACAGTCTACTCCAGCACCTCTGGCATATCTCATCACAGAGTCTACTCCAGCAGCTCTGGCATATCTCATCACAGAGTCTACTCCAGCAGCTCTGGCATATCTCATCACAGAGTCTACTCCAGCAGCTCTGGCATATCTCATCACAGAGTCTACTCCAGCAGCTCTGGCATATCTCATCACAGAGTCTACTCCAGCAGCTCTGGCATATCTCATCACAGAGTCTACTCCAGCAGTTCTGGCATATCTCATCACAGAGTCTACTCCAGCAGTTCTGGCATATCTCATCACAGAGTCTACTCCAGCAGCTCTAGTATATCTCATCACAGAGTCTACTCCAGCAGTTCTGGCATATCTCATCACACAGTCTACTCCAGCAGCTCTGGCATATCTCATCAGACAGTCTACTCCAGCAGTTCTGGCATATCTCATCACAGAGTCTACTCCAGCAGCTCTAGTATATCTCATCACAGAGTCTACTCCAGCAGTTCTGGCATATCTCATCACACAGTCTACTCCAGCAGCTCTGGCATATCTCATCACACAGTCTACTCCAGCAGTTCTGGCATATCTCATCACAGAGTCTACTCCAGCAGCTCTAGTATATCTCATCACAGAGTCTACTCCAGCAGCTCTGGCATATCTCATCACAGAGTCTACTCCAGCAGCTCTGGCATATCTCATCACAGAGTCTACTCCAGCAGCTCTGGCATATCTCATCACAGAGTCTACTCCAGCAGCTCAGGCATGTCTCATCACAGAGTCTACTCCAGCAGCTCAGGCATGTCTCATCACAGAGTCTACTTCAGCAGTTCTGGCATATCTCATCACACAGTCTACTCCAGCACCTCTGGCATATCTCATCACACAGTCTACTCCAGCAGCTCTGGCATATCTCATCACAGAGTCTACTCCAGCAGCTCTAGTATATCTCATCACACAGTCTACTCCAGCACCTCTGGCATATCTCATCACAGAGTCTACTCCAGCAGTTCTGGCATATCTCATCACACAGTCTACTCCAGCACCTCTGGCATATCTCATCACAGAGTCTACTCCAGCAGCACTGGCATATCTCATCACACAGTCTACTCCAGCAGTTCTGGCATATCTCATCTCAGAGTCTACTCCAACAGCTCTGACATGTCTCATCACACAGTCTACTCCAGCAGCTCTGGCATGTCTCATCACACAGTCTACTCCAGCAGCTCTAGTATATCTCATCACAGAGTCTACTCCAGCAGTTCTGGCATATCTCATCACACAGTCTACTCCAGCAGCTCTGGCATATCTCATCACACAGTCTACTCCAGCAGCTCTAGTATATCTCATCACAGAGTCTACTCCAGCAGTTCTGGCATATCTCATCACAGAGTCTACTCCAGCAGCTCTAGTATATCTCATCACAGAGTCTACTCCAGCAGCTCTGGCATATCTCATCACAGAGTCTACTCCAGCAGTTCTGGCATATCTCATCACAGAGTCTACTCCAGCAGCTCTAGTATATCTCATCACAGAGTCTACTCCAGCAGCTCTGGCATATCTCATCACACAGTCTACTCCAGCAGCTCTAGCATATCTCATCACAGAGTCTACTCCAACAGCTCTGGCATATCTCATCACACAGTCTACTCCAACAGCTCTGGCATATCTCATCACAGAGTCTACTCCAGCAGCTCTAGTATATCTCATCACAGAGTCTACTCCAGCAGTTCTGGCATATCTCATCACAGAGTCTACTCCAGCAGCTCTAGTATATCTCATCAGAGAGTCTACTCCAGCAGTTCTGGCATATCTCATCACAGAGTCTACTCCAGCAGTTCTGGCATATCTCATCACAGAGTCTACTCCAGCAGCTCTGGCATGTCTCATCACAGAGTCTACTCCAGCAGCTTCTTTCATATCTCATCACAGAGTCTACTCCAGCAAATCTGGCATATCTCATCACAGTCTACTCCAACAGTTCTGGCATGTCTCATCACAGAGTCTACTCCAGCAGCTCTGGCATGTCTTATCAATGTTCATTGTAGAGTTTTTGTTTCCTTATTCTATTTGCTTCCCATTTTAGTGACTGTCTAGTGATTAGTGATTAATTATTAGTGATTAGTAAGGATTATTATCACCTCACTCCGGACAGATCCATAGGTGCTCTGATCTCCTCCTCAAAAGCTCCACGTGTGAAACTACTGATGACCCCTGTTCTGTGTTGGTTGAAACGTCTTGTTCCCTTAGAGAAATGTTCATTTTCTCCATGTCCAATCAGCCTAGACAGGGAAAGGCAGCCAAGCCCTTTGGTGGGCTCTTCACGGTAAGTGGTGTGCATGGTACTGATAACATCATTTCTGTCCAGTATTGGACCAACCACAGCAGCCACAGTGTCAGCAAGATAATCTGCACGCTCAGTCCCTTGAAAACCAGCATGACCTGGCACAAAGTTGAAGGTCGGGGCAGCCATTGATTCTTTATCAGTATTGTCTCAGAAGGAACCACGTTCAACTTTTAAGCCAAAAACTGCCAACAGGAGTCCACTGTGCCAGGAACTTTATGAAGATGTCTTGTTTGATTCACAGACAGCCACCAGTACTGACATCAGCTGATAACACTTGTAGCATACTCATGAAGCTGTCTTGTTTGATTCACAGACAGCCACCAGTACTGATATCAGCTGATAATACTTGTAGCATACTCATGAAGCTGTCTTGTTTGATTCACAGACAGCCACCAGTACTGACATCAGCTGATAACACTTGTAGCATACTCATGAAGCTGTCTTGTTTGATTCACAGACAGCCACCAGTATTGACATCAGCTGATAACACTTGTAGCATACTCATGAAGATGTCTTGTTTGATTCACAGACAGCCACCTGTATTGACATCAGCTGATAACACTTGTAGCATACTCATGAAGATGATTCTGCTGCTAAAATTACTGCTGCTGGTGTTAATACTGTTGCTGCTACTACCATGAATAACACTGTTACTACCACTACTATTACTTTTACTGCTGCTACTACTACTATTCACACTACTTCAGACAGGAATACCATTGCTGCTGCTGCTACTGGTGCTTTTGCTGCTACTTCTTTAAGTATTATACTAGAGATGATTTTTCCGATAAATGTCATAACAATTTCCACTTTCCTGTACATGTGTACATTCCAAACTATCAGTTCCGTAAAAGAAAGTGATGAACACTGGCAGCACATCAACATTATCCGATTACAACATCTATAGCTGCTGATTAAAACATCCAGATGATTAAAGGCATGATTCAGACAACAGAGGACAAGCTAACTAAGTCTGAATGATCACAAAAGTGCCTACCCTTGAAGAAAAACTGTTTTGCGTGTTTCATCTTTACTGACTTTACAAAACCATCTGAAAGAAATGCAGAAATGAAGAAAATTTGTTCTGTAAGTTTGTATCAATTACAACAGATGAATAAATGTATTCTCAATGTCACAGCAAACATAAACTATAACACACAAACTATATAAGCTACTATATCCACTACTATATCTTCTTCTTCTTCTTCTTCTTCTTCTTCTTCTTCTTCTTCTTCTTCTTCTTCTTCTTCTTCTTCTTCTTCTTCTTCTGTATTAACCCTTAAAGTGACAGATGACACATTGTGTTGTGGTTTACAGCAAGGCTTTTGGCCCAAAAATCTGAATTGTGCAAATGCCTAGTTACCTTTTATGACATGCTTGTGAGGTGTGCAGACAAGAACTCCCTAATCATCAAAGCTCAGCAATCACCAAAACTCACTAATTCTAAAAACTCAATAATCACAAGAACTCACTGATTACCCCCAAACAAAACAAAAAATCACTAATCACAAAAATAACAAAATCACTGACCCCCCAAAAAATCAGTAAGCACAAAAACTTCCAGATTAAAAAAAAAAAACTTAACCACAACAGCTTATTAACCACAAGATACACACTCATACTTGTGATAAACTCAACCACAATAACTCACTAACCACCAGATACACACACTTACTTGTGATAAACTCAACCACAACAACTTACTAACCACCAGATACACACACTTACTTGTGATAAACTCAACCACAACAACTTACTAACCACCAGATACACACACTTACTTGTGATAAACTCAACCACAACAACTCACTAACCACCAGATACACACACTTACTTGTGATAAACTCAACCACAACAACTTACTAACCACCAGATACACACACTTACTTGTGATAAACTCAACCACAACAACTCACTAACCACAAGATACACACACTTACTTGTGATAAACTCAACCACAACAACTTACTAACCACCAGATACACACACTTACTTGTGATAAACTCAACCACAACAACTCACTAACCACAAGATACACACACTTACTTGTGATAAACTCAACCACAACAACTCACTAACCACAAGATACACACACTTACTTGTGATAAACTCAACCACAACAACTTACTAACCACCAGATACACACACTTACTTGTGATAAACTCAACCACAACAACTGACTAACCACCAGACACACACACTTACTTGTGATAAACTCAACCACAACAACTTACTAACCACAAGATACACACACTTACTTGTGATAAACTCAACCACAACAACTCACTAACCACCAGATACACACACTTACTTGTGATAAACTCAACCACAACAACTCACTAACCCAAAATACACACACTTACTTGTGATAAACTCAACCACAACAACTCACTAACCACAAGATACACACACTTACTTGTGATAAACTCAACCACAACAACTCACTAACCCAAGATACACACACTTACTTGTGATAAACTCAACCACAACAACTCACTAACCACCAGACTCCAACACTTACTTGTGATAAACTCAACCACAACAACTCACTAACCCAAGATACACACACACACTTGTGATAAACTCAACCACAACAACTCACTAACCACCAGACACCAACACTTACTTGTGATAAACTCAGCCACAACAACTCACTAACCACAAGATACACACACTCACTTGTGATAAACTCAACCACAACAACTCACTAACCACAAGATACACACACTTACTTGTGATAAACTCAACCACAACAACTCACTAACCCAAGATACACACACTTACTTGTGATAAATTCAACCGCAACAACTGACTAACCACCAGACACACACACTCATACTTGTGATAAATTCAACCACAACAACTGACTAACCACCAGACACCAACACTTACTTGTGATAAATTCAACCACAACAACTGACTAACCACCAGACACCAACACTTACTTGTGATAAACTCAACCACAACAACTGACTAACCACTAGACACCAACACTTACTTGTGATAAATTCAACCACAACAACTCACTAACCACCAGACACCAACACTTACTTGTGATAAACTCAACCACAACAACTGACTAACCACCAGACACCAACACTTACTTGTGATAAACTCAACCACAATAACTCACTAACCACCAGACACCAACACTTACTTGTGATAAACTCAGCCACAACAACTCACTAACCACAAGATACACACACTTACTTGTGATAAACTCAACCACAACAACTCACTAACCACAAGATACACACACTTACTTGTGATAAATTCAACCACAACAACTCACTAACCACAAGATACACACTCATACTTGTGATAAATTCAACCACAACAACTCACTAACCACAAGATACACACACTTACTTGTGATAAACTCAACCACAACAACTCACTAACCACAAGATACACACACTTACTTGTGATAAACTCCACTACAACAACTCACTAACCACAAGATACACACACTTACTTGTGATAAACTCAACTACACTCACTAACCACAAGATACACACACTTACTTGTGATAAATTCAACCACAACAACTCACTAACCACAAGATACACACACTTACTTGTGATAAACTCAGCCACAACAACTCACTAACCACCAGATACACACACTTACTTGTGATAAACTCAGCCACAACAACTCACTAACCACAAGATACACACACTTACTTGTGATAAACTCAGCCACAACAACTCACTAACCCAAGATACACACACTTACTTGTGATAAACTCAACCACAACAACTCACTAACCACAAGATACACACACTTACTTGTGATAAATTCAACCACAACAACTCACTAACCACAAGATACATACACTTTCTTGTGATAAATTCAACCACAACAACTCACTAACCACAAGATACACACACATGTGATAAACTCAACCACAATAACTCACTAACCACAAGATACACACACTTGTGATAAATTCAACCACAATAACTCACTAACCACAAGATACACACACATGTGATAAATTCAACCACAACAACTCACTAACCACAAGATACACACACATGTGATAAATTCAACCACAACAACTCACTAACCACAAGATACACACACTTACTTGTGATATATTCAACCACAACAACTCACTAACCACAAGATACACACACTTACTTGTGATAAACTCAACCACAATAACTCACTAACCACAAGATACACACACATGTGATAAATTCAACCACAACAACTCACTAACCACAAGATACACACACATGTGATAAATTCAACCACAACAACTCACTAACCACAAGATACACACACTTACTTGTGATAAATTCAACCACAACAACTCACTAGCCACAAGATACACACACATGTGATAAACTCAACCACAACAACTCACTAACCACCAGATACACACACTTACTTGTGATAAACTCAACCACAACAACTCACTAACCACAAGATACACACACTTACTTGTGATAAACTCAGCCACAACAACTCACTAACCACCAGATACACACACTTACTTGTGATAAACTCAGCCACAGCAACTCACTAACCACAAGATACACACACTTACTTGTGATAAACTCAGCCACAACAACTCACTAACCCAAGATACACACACTTACTTGTGATAAACTCAACCACAACAACTCACTAACCACAAGATACACACACTTACTTGTGATAAACTCAACCACAACAACTCACTAACCACAAGATACACACACTTACTTGTGATAAACTCAACCACAACAACTCACTAACCACAAGATACACATACTCACTTGTGATAACGTAAGACAACCGCCGAGGATCTGTGCCAGTGGGCCCCAGCGTCCACAAAAGCCACCTCTGGCTTGAGAGTGATGTCAGAGGTGGCGGACGCTTCCTCTGGGGAGTTTGGCAGTGTGGAAGGAGCAGCAAATGTTGGTGAATGTGAAGATGATGAGCCGCCTGGGGTCACAGAGGTACAGGTGGGGGGTCAGTGGTAGCAGCAAGAAAATTTGAACATTTCACTGAACAGAAAAACACTGAGAAATGTTCTACTTTATCTTCTTCTTCTTCTCCTTCTTCTTCATTTCATCAGCTGTAAACATTGATCATTGCAGACACAGATAATCTATTTCAAGTGAACAACAGAAGAACGACAAGTATGTTCTACAGTACTGATGACATCTGGCTAACGATTTGATCCTACATCATGAAACACAAAGTTTTATAAATAACCACACAACACAACATGAAAGGCATGTATGTGGGAAATCTAATTGTTTGATCAAATCCACAGACCATGAACACAAACCCCACCTTCTGATGTCCACAGACCATGAACACAAACCTCACCCCTTCTGATGTCCACAGACCATGAACACAAACCTCACCTTCTGATGTCCACAGACCATGAACACAAACCCCACCTTCTGATGTCCACAGACCATGAACACAAACCTCACCTTCTGATGTCCGCAGACCATGAACACAAACCTCACCTTCTGATGTCCGCAGACCATGAACACAAACCTCACCTTCTGATGTCCACAGACTATGAACACATACCTCACCTTCTGATGTCCACAGACCATGAACACAAACCTCACCTTCTGATGTCCACAGATCATGAACACAAACCTCACCTTCTGATGTCCACAGACCATGAACACAAACCCCACCTTCTGATGTCCACAGACCATGAACACAAACCTCACCCCTTCTGATGTCCACAGACCATGAACACAAACCTCACCTTCTGATGTCCACAGACCATGAACACAAACCTCACCTTCTGATGTCCACAGACCATGAACCCAAACCTCACCTTCTGATGTCCACAGACCATGAACACAAACCTCACCTTCTGATGTCCACAGACCATGAACACAAACCTCACCTTCTGATGTCCACAGACCATGAACACAAACCTCACCTTCTGATGTCCACAGACCATGAACACAAACCTCACCTTCTGATGTCCACAGACCATGAACACAAACCTCACCTTCTGATAATCTGACAGACCATGAACACAAACCTCACCTTCTGATGATCTGACAGACCATGAACACAAACCTCACCTTCTGATGATCTGACAGACCATGAACACAAACCTCACCTTCTGATGATCTGACAGACCATGAACACAAACCTCACCTTCTGATGATCTGACAGAACTGCTTGTATTTGTATTCCCAAAGGTAGCTGTCTGCACCCTCTCCCCTTCCACAATGGTGTGTTGTGACTCACTGCCATCGTAGTTCTTCACAGACAGTGTCAGGGTGGTGGGAGCTGTGCTCTGTCTGAAGCCAGCCTCCACACTGATCAACAGAGGAGGGGGGGCACTGATGTAGGCTTTTTCACAGCTGGCTGCAGTCTGTGGATTGTCATATATGTCAGTGATATTTGGAGAACTGCTAAAGACATCAAACAAAGATTAAATGCCTTCCAACACACAAGCCTGAGGTAAACATAAAATGAGATGAATTCAACAAAGGTGAAGAAATAAAGACCAATAAGATGGTTACATTCTAGGGTAGATGCAGAATCAGAATCACCAGACAATGAAATGGGAAATGGGTTGAGGAAGAGACACAGAAATGGAAAATGGGTTGAGGAACAGACACAGTAATGGGAAATGGGTTGAGGAACAGACACAGAAATGGGAAATGGGTTGAGGAACAGACACAGAAATGGGAAATGGGTTGAGGAACAGACACAGAAATGAGAAATGGGTTGAGGAAGAGACACAGAAATGGGAAATGGGTTGAGGAACCAAGAATTTCCCAAAAGAAACCTTATGACAAACACTGAGGAGACATGTCAAAGGTGTTGGACTAGATTCCAAAGACATCAAACAGACATCAGAAAACAGAAAAGAATGAAGGAATGCATTATTATGTACATTATTATATCTATTTTCATTTTTAGGTATGATATGTGTCTGCTGCACATCAGCTGCAGTTGTATGGTCTGTTTTAAAGTGCTGCAAAAAGTCAAAATCTTACTTACTCCCCCCCCCCCCCCATCTCAAAATTTACTTGTCTACCTAGGGCCTAAGGCAGAAGCATTCTCACCCACACGTACCCACATGTGGAGACATCAACTCCACCAGGCTTTCACTGATGGACAGAGATATTGGTGAATGAGATGGACAAACCTGCTTATAAGGGCTGCCATAACAGACATCAGTTTGACGCCGAAGGATGGCATTCTGTGCCGTCGCCCCAGCACTTTGTCCACTTGCTGATCCACCCAAGTCAGAACTGCTACCTGTAGCAACATAATCGTTAGAGTTTATATCCACCCAAGTCAGAACTGCTACCTGTAGCAACATAATGGTTAGAGTGTATATCCACCCAAGTCAGAACTGCTACCTGTAAGAACATAATGGTTAGAGTGTATATCCACCCAAGTCAGAACTGCTACCTGTAGCAACATAATGGTTAGAGTGTATAACCACCCAAGTCACAACTACTACCTGTAAGAACATAATGGTTAGAGTGTATATCCACCCAAGTCACAACTACTACCTGTAAGAACATAATGGTTAGAGTGTATATCCACCCAAGTCAGAACTACTACCTGTAAGAACATAATGGTTAGAGTGTATATCCACCCAAGTCACAACTACTACCTGTAGGAACATAATGGTTAGAGTGTATATCCACCCAAGTCACAACTACTACCTGTAAGAACATAATGGTTAGAGTGTATATCCACCCAAGTCACAACTACTACCTGTAAGAACATAATGGTTAGAGTGTATATCCACCCAAGTCACAACTACTACCTGTAAGAACATAATGGTTAGAGTGTATATCCACCCAAGTCACAACTACTACCTGTAAGAACATAATGGTTAGAGTGTATATCCACCCAAGTCACAACTACTACCTGTAAGAACATAATGGTTAGAGTGTATATCCACCCAAGTCACAACTACTACCTGTAAGAACATAATGGTTAGAGTGTATATCCACCCAAGTCACAACTACTACCTGTAAGAACATAATGGTTAGAGTGTATATCCACCCAAGTCAGAACTGCTACCTGTAGCAACATAATGGTTAGAGTGTATTTCCACACAAGTCCGAACTGCTACCTGTAGGAACATAATGGTTAGAGTGTACATCCACCCAAGTCAGAACTACTACCTGTAAGAACATAATGGTTAGAGTGTATATCCACCCAAGTCAGAACTGCTACCTGTAGGAACATAATGGTTAGAGTGTATATCCACCCAAGTCAGAACTGCTACATGTAGGAACATAATGGTTAGAGTGTATTTCCACCCAAGTCAGAACTACTACCTGTAAGAACATAATGGTTAGAGTGTATATCCACCCAAGTCAGAACTGCTACCTGTATGAACATAATGGTTAGAGTGTATATCCACACAAGTCAGAACTGCTACCTGTAGGAACATAATGGTTAGAGTGTATATCCACCCAAGTCAGAACTGCTACCTGTAAGAACATAATGGTTAGAGTGTATTTCCACCCAAGTCAGAACTACTACTTGTAGGAACATAATGGTTAGAGTGTATTTCCACCCAAGTCAGAACTACTACCTGTAGGAACATAATGGTTAGAGTGTATATCCACCCAAGTCAGAACTGCTATCTGTAGGAACATAATGGTTAGAGTGTATATCCACACAAGTCAGAACTGCTACCTGTAGGAACATAATGGTTAGAGTGTATATCCACCCAAGTCAGAACTGCTACCTGTAAGAACATAATGGTTAGAGTGTATATCCACCCAAGTCAGAACTACTACCTGTAGGAACATAATGGTTAGAGTGTATTTCCACCCAAGTCAGAACTACTACCTGTAGGAACATAATGGTTAGAGTGTATTTCCACCCAAGTCAGAACTACTACCTGTAGGAACATAATGGTTAGAGTGTATATCCACCCAAGTCAGAACTGCTATCTGTAGGAACATAATGGTTAGAGTGTATATCCACCCAAGTCAGAACTACTACCTGTAGGAACATAATGGTTAGAGTGTATATCCACCCAAGTCAGAACTACTACCTGTAGGAACATAATGGTTAGAGTGTATTTCCACCCAAGTCAGAACTACTACCTGTAGGAACATAATGGTTAGAGTGTATATCCACCCAAGTCAGAACTGCTATCTGTAGGAACATAATGGTTAGAGTGTATATCCACCCAAGTCAGAACTGCTACCTGTAGGAACATAATGGTTAGAGTGTATATCCACCCAAGTCAGAACTACTACCTGTAGGAACATAATGGTTAGAGTGTATATCCACCCAAGTCAGAACTGCTACCTGTAAGAACATAATGGTTACGTGTATTTCCACCCAAGTCAGAACTGCTACCTGTAAGAACATAATGGTTAGAGTGTATATCCACCCAAGTCAGAACTACTACCTGTAGGAACATAATGGTTAGAGTGTATATCCACCCAAGTCAGAACTACTACCTGTAGGAACATAATGGTTAGAGTGTATATCCACACAAGTCAGAACTACTACCTGTAGGAACATAATGGTTAGAGTGTATATCCACCCAAGTCAGAACTGCTACCTGTAGGAACATAATGGTTAGAGTGTATTTTCACCCAAGTCAGAACTACTACCTGTAAGAACATAATGGTTAGAGTGTATATCCACCCAAGTCAGAACTGCTACCTGTAGGAACATAATGGTTAGAGTGTATATCCACACAAGTCAGAACTGCTACCTGTAGGAACATAATGGTTAGAGTGTATATCCACCCAAGTCAGAACTGCTACCTGTAGGAACATAATGGTTAGAGTGTATATCCACACAAGTCAGAACTGCTACCTGTAGGAACATAATGGTTAGAGTGTATATCCACCCAAGTCAGAACTGCTACCTGTAAGAACATAATGGTTAGAGTGTATTTCCACCCAAGTCAGAACTACTACCTGTAGGAACATAATGGTTAGAGTGTATTTCCACCCAAGTCAGAACTACTACCTGTAGGAACATAATGGTTAGAGTGTATATCCACCCAAGTCAGAACTGCTATCTGTAGGAACATAATGGTTAGAGTGTATATCCACCCAAGTCAGAACTGCTACCTGTAGGAACATAATGGTTAGAGTGTATATCCACCCAAGTCAGAACTGCTACCTGTAAGAACATAATGGTTAGAGTGTATATCCACCCAAGTCACAACTACTACCTGTAAGAACATAATGGTTAGAGTGTATTTCCACCCAAGTCAGAACTACTACCTGTAGGAACATAATGGTTAGAGTGTATATCCACCCAAGTCAGAACTGCTACCTGTAGGAACATAATGGTTAGAGTGTATTTCCACCCAAGTCCGAACTGCTACCTGTAGGAACATAATGGTTAGAGTGTATATCCACACAAGTCAGAACTACTACCTGTAAGAACATAATGGTTAGAGTGTATATCCACCCAAGTCAGAACTGCTACCTGTAAGAACATAATGGTTAGAGTGTATTTCCTACTGGAGAAAACAAACTCTTTACTTTATTACTACAGAAGAGATACTATCTGCTAATTTCTTACTATAGAAAGGATACTATTGATGCATTTCTTACTATGGAAGAGATACTATTGGTTCATTTCTTACTATTAAAGAGATACTATTGGTTGATTTATTATTATAGAAGAGATACTTTTGTTAAATTTCTTACTATCGAAGAGATACTATTGGTTCATTTCTTACTATTAAAGAGATACTATTGGTTGATTTATTACTATAGAAGAGATACTTTTGTTAAATTTCTTACTATAGAAGAGATACTATTGGTTCATTTTTTATTATAGAAGAGATATTATTGGTTAATTAGTTACTATAGAAGAGATACTAATGGTTCATTTTTTACTTTTGAAGAGATACTATTGGTTCATTTCTTACTGCAGAAGAGATACTTTTGGTTTATTTCTTACTTCAGAAGACCCCCGTGTGGGTTCCGGGGCCCCATTGTGGGGAAAACAAGAATAGACCCACTGCCTCCCCAAAAGCATGTCGTAAGAGTCGACTAATTGGGAAGCTTCCTTTGAAGTCGGAGTGCATCTGCCGGAGAGGCAAGGAACCAACAGTCTGTTTTCAAGAGAATGAGATCTGTAAAACTGATGCACACGCAACACTCAGGTTCTGGAGCAGGACTGCAGTTCAGTAGTGGACGAGCAACCAGAACCTTCCGCCAGAGTTTACAGCTGGTGAACGTGAAGAAGAAGAAGAACTTCAGAAGAGTTCAACATTCATTTCTCACTATAGAAGAGATACTATTGGTTCATTTCTTAATGTAGAAGAGAAACTTCTTCTTCTATTTGTTTATCAGAGTGACGTAATAGTGTTGTGCCTGTTTACAGCAAAGCTAGGATATCTGCACTTTTCGGCTAACAGATCTAACTGTGTCGAACATTTGTTGACCCGGTTAAATTTCCAGACAAGAGATACCATATGTGTTCACCTCTTACTACAGAATTTAACTCCTATATTAGTTTGTCTATTACTACAGAGGAGATAATATCGGTTCATTACTTACTATAGAAATGAATTCATCTATTACTGCAAAAGAGATACTGTTTGTCCATTTCTCACAACAGAAGAGATACTTTTTGTTTATTGTTTACTGAAGAAAAGATCCTATATTTGTCCATTTCTTACTACAGAAGAGATACAATTTTTTTTTTTTTACTATAGAAGATATCCTATACTTGTTCATTTCTTACTGAACAAGAGATACTATATAATCATTTCTTACTGCAGAAGAGATACTGTGTCTTCATTTCTTATTAAAGAAGAGATACTTTATTAGTTCATTTCTTACTACAGAAGAGATACTATATTAGTTCATTTCTTACTGCAGGAGAGATACTATGTCAGTTCATTTCTTACTGCAGAAGAGATACTATATTAGTTCATTTCTTACTGCAGAAGAGATACTATGTTGGTTCATTTCTTACTGCAGAAGAGATACTATATAAGTTCATTTCCTACTGCAGAAGAGATACTATATTAGTTCATTTCTTACTGCAGAAGAGATACTATATTTGTTCATTTCTTACTGCAGAAGAGTTACTATATTAGTTCATTTCTTACTGCAGGAGAGATACTGTATTAGTTCATTTCTTACTACAGGAGAGATACTATATTAGTTCATTTCTTACTACAGGAGAGATACTATATTAGTTCATTTCTTACTACAGGAGAGATACTATTTTAGTTCATTTCTTACTGCAGAAGAGATACTATATTTGTTCATTTCTTACTGCAGAAGAGTTACTATATTAGTTCATTTCTTACTGCAAAGAGATACTATATTTGTTCTTTTCTTACTGCAGAAGATATACTATATTTGTTCTTTTCATATGACAGAAGAGAAACTGTTAAATTATTATCTACGAAACAAAAGATCTTTCAAAAGATATTTATTTACCAACATAAAAGTTTTTGTCCACTTTAACAGACGTCGAAGAGACTTTTTATTTCTTACTACAGAAGTTAGGAATGCTATTGGTTCAATTTTTATAGCAATAAATCCTTCACTCATTCACTTATTCCCATCAGCAACACTTGAATTTCAAATGTGCCCAAACACAAAAACTGACCAAGAGATGATGAGCTGTCATCAACACTGCTTGCTGACGGTGTCCTGGACATCTCCGAGTTGCTGCTGCCACTGCTGCTGTACCGCTGTCGTTGGCATCCTGATGATCGGTGATGACGTCTGCCCTTCCGTCTGTGCTGGACTGTGAACACCTACAATGTTAGAGGGAAGAGTATTCTGTTTTCACTTTGAGTTATCAGTGAGAAGTTATAGTCATTAGACAAATGTGTATCTTCTCCACAATGCAGGTAAGCTGCAGTTAATCCACTTGTCTTGAGGAATACAGCATGGGAGGACACCCCCCATCTCTTCCATGGTGTTACTCTTGTAATTCTGTTCTAAAGCAAGGAAAATGGTTTTGTTTTCCCTGAGGAAATAGGACCCTGGAACATCAAGATTTATGAAATGAGTTCTAGTCAAAAACACTCTTAGTTGCATCTTACATGACTCCTTTCAGCTGTCTATCATTCAGCAGATTGAATGAAAAGATTGCCTTACTGGAGGACCAACGTACTCAAAGCACTCAAAGAGGCAGGACCAGTTGATCAGTCAGGATGAGATGACGGTGAACTGCAACCATGTCAAGACAACAAGAACTGCAACCATGTCAAGACTACAAGAACTGCAACCATGTCAAGACTACAAGAACTGCAACCATGTCAAGACTACAAGAACTGCAACCATGTCAAGACAACAAAAACCGTATGTCAAAAGAGGTGTTGCCAAACATGAACACTATACAGGTAGCCACAGAAAAACAGTTAACCAACACAGAACTGGTATTATCAGGTGCCACACACTGAAGGGAGATCGAGTGAGAAACGATGTGATTACAAGAACTATTGGAACCATACCCATCGTTAAATTTATTGAAAAGCAAAGAATGAAATGGTTTGGTCACCTAATGAGAATGGAACCAACGATGCCAGCATCAAGATCATACAACATGAAAATCGAAACACCAAGAGGCAGAGGAAGACCAAGAAGAATATGGATTGAAGGAGTCACGGACAACTTGAGACTTCATAACATCATGGCATATGACAAACCGACAAACTTCTTCCACTTTTTCTTTGCAGTGACTGGCCGTAAACTCCGGTAGAAATTTGCAGTTGTTCATTCACTCTGGACTTTAGTCTTGTTTTAGTAACTTGAGTTTGGCATGGACATCCATATTTCAGATCTGGCTAATTTGTACGCAGACCATTTGTTCCTTGTTCTCTGATTTTGAAGGAAACCCCTGTTTAGTTGACTCTTACGACATGCTTGTTAAAAAGGCAGTGGGACTAATCTTGTTTTCTCCCCACAATGGGGCCCCGGAACCCACATAAGGAAACTGACAAACATAATTTAATTTTGTAATCTTGTTCATTTCTTACTACAGAAGAGATACTATTTGTCCATTTCTTACTATAGAAGAGATACTATTTGTCCATTTCTTACTACAGAAGAGATACTACTTTCCTCACTTAGGTTAACTGAATAATTCATGTCTACATGTAAAATTGGTGTGTATTTGGCTGGCTTTTAACCTAAATGTTTATAAGTGTTGAGGAAGCCAACCTCAAGACCAAATCTTCCTTAGTTGCCTTTTATGACACACTTGGTAGCTGGATGTGTTACAAACTTTTGCTTCCCTATCAGACGGGCATGTACTAAACATTAAACAACAGTTAAGGTATATTTTTGTCACAAGACTACTACAGTAGTCTCCCGAGACGTCCTGGCCAACAGGGCTCTGGTGAAGTTGTGACAGGCCTAGCAAGCTGGCAGTGAATTTATTATTGCTACAGAGAATTCTGGTCTCAAGACTCCTTGACTCCTTGAGTGTGAAAGTTCATAAGGTGGGAGAACTGGCAAGAGACCGAGTTTCTTTCAGGCAGACTGTGATGAGAGCGACGTTCTGCAAAGGACCTGCTACATGATGATGATGATGACAGAGAATACAATGAGATTTAAATGGACTGATCAAAATTTAAGTTACACACAGAGACATCAAATCAAATGGTTTGCCCACTTCGAGAGAATGCCTAGTGACCCCATAACATATAAGGCACACACCAAAAGGGGAGAAGGATGAAGAACACGACGCAGACCAAGAATAATATGGAAAGATAACATCAAAGAAACTCTACAACAGCACGATGTGCCTATGGTCGAGGTGGACAGAAGAGCATGAAGCAGAACCCTGTGTCCATCTCAACACCTGAAGTGGTAAAAGAGGAAGTGAAGAAGATGAAGGAAGAAGAATGGTATATTTTAACTCTTTGTGGACTAATCACCAGTTAAATGGTGTTGAAATAAATACAGCTAGGACTAATTGCCATTAAAGTAGCGTTTGAGAGAAACACACAGATACTATTTTTTTGGGCTGGGAAAACTAATATGACTGATCATGTTTTGAAAAACTAGAATAAGTGAAATGATGTCCTTTCGTATATACATCAGCATCCCGCTGTTGATAGTCCCGGCCCTATGTTGGTTGACAAGACTTCTCGTGCGTCCGGTGTGCTTCTCATGCCTGGCTGTGCTGATCTTTATTCCCAATTCTTGAACTCTTAGCAAAGATGTGGAAGTGTTGTTCCCCAAATCCTTTGAACGTCCTACCTCTCTAACGGCGCTAACAATGTGGGCATGATCCATGGGCTGGCTCTTTTAACTAAGGCAGAGCCGGCTAATCTGTCGACTCTTTTATTGCCAACAACACTAGCATACCCTGGTACAAAGATGAAGGTGACATCCATGCACAGTGGAGTTTTGCAATGACTCGATTCACTGTCTACATGCAAAGCCCACCTTTACCCGCTGGATCATGCTCACGGAATCACTCATCAAACACACACACAAGTGAGAACAGCCCCGCAACTCACACTGTGAGCTGAAAGGTAAATGGGTTCAGAAGATGGACCGACCTTGTGCAGGTCATCAAATCCGCGTGCCATGATGCCAGAGGGTGTGTGGGCCAGGTCAAACGTGTGGCCCAGTTCATGCAGGGATGCTCCCAGACCTGTAGCATAGTTAGCCCAGTAGTATTGCCTGCCAAACAAACAAACACACTTTGGATATCACAATGCACATACAGAATCTACAACAACATATGTAAACACCACAGCTGATTATCATCATCCTCAACAACATCATCATCTAGCTGTGCCATTATATATCACATAGGGCTCACTGTTGATTCCTTCATTCCATTCTTTTTCTTCCTTTAGTCCATGCTGTGTGGCGTTTGTAGTATCGCCAACCTTCTGTCTCATGGACTTTCAATAAACTTCAACACAGATGATCTTCTACAGCATGATGTCAGACTGTCCAGCATTTTCTTCTCGGTCTCCCTCTTCCTCCTTTACCCTCCACCTTTCCCACCGTCAGTGCGTGCTCCAGGTTTTGTCTTGTTCATCATGTGGGTAAACAGTTTTCTTCAGTCAGCTTCTTCCAAGACATCTCCATTACTGTCTTCATCTGCCCAAGGCACTCTCATGATTCGTCTATAAAACCACATGCCACTCTAGGTTGTGCACATTTGTCAATACCAGGTAGAGTCTAGTCTGAGAACTCTGACCTTTCTCATCAACATTTGTAGTGAAGCTTCTCTCGGACATCCTCACTTCCTAAATCCATTTGTTTCCCAGTTTAAAATGTAAACTGTATTTATCTGTCAACAATGACATACATCCAGTTCAATATTCTGACAAGGCAAATGCTGTCACCTACCAGCCACCCTACTGCTTAGGACACCCAAATGTCTCTCTTCCAGCAAAACAGCAAATGGTTAACAGCATCTTCATCCCTACTTTACGCTGTCAGTGCCAAACATGGACAATGAACAGGACACTAGAACAGAAAATAACTACCTGTGAATTGAGCTGTCTCCATAAGGTCACTAACAACACTAGCAGGGACAGGGTCATGAAAACCAGCATTAGACACAAAGTTGCAATAAGACAGTGTCTGAAATTATGCTGACAGAAAGTTGGAATAAGACAGTGTCTGAAATTATACTGACAGAAAGTTGGAATAAGACAGTGTCTGAAATTATACTGACAGAATTAGCATGGAATGGTTCGGATATCTGGTGAAAATGCAACCAGACCAAACTTCATTTGAGACTTTACCAGCAGAACGTCAGGGAGGAAGGCGAGGGGAAGATCAAGAAAGAGGTGGAAAAATGATGTAGCTAAAACCTGCAAAAAAGAAGAACAAATCTACAACCCTAGAAGCAGGAGTCAATTACAGAAAACCACAAGACTGCACTACAACCTGGTATCAGTGAAACAACAAAGGAAGACAAAGAGACATAGACCCCGTGGTTTGTAACTGTATCTTAACTAAACAACAATATCTGACAATCGTGTCTATCTGACTGACAGTATGACACAGCTAACTTAAACCCTGTCACTGTCCACCTGTCATTGGCGTCCACGGCCCCTGTTTTTCACTGACCTCCTTCCTGCACAGTTCATGACAATTAACTGTCGGCTCTCCTTACCTGTAAGCGCTGTCATCCATAAACTTTCTTCTGTCTATTTTTGTCCTGTTGGTCAGGCAAGAGTTGAATGTAGCTAGACCTTCAGCCCAGGTGTGCAAGTTACCTGTGCCAAACAAGGCCAAGCCTCCCCCACCTTCAGCAAAGATAAAACACAGCTGGTATTACAAACACAGAACTGCTGGTATTACAAACACAAAACACTGTTGATATTACAAACACAGAACACTGTTGATATTACAAACACAGAACACTGCTGGTATTACAAACACAGAACACTGCTGGTATTACAAACACAGAACACTGCTGGTATTACAAACACAGAACACTGCTGGTATTACAAACACAGAACACTGCTGGTATTACAAACACAGAACACTGCTGGTATTACAAACACAGAACACTGTCGGTATTACAAACACAGAACACTGTCGGTATTACAAACACAGAACACTGCTGGTATTACAAACACAGAACACTGCTGGTATTACAAACACAGAACACTGTCGGTATTACAAACACAGAACACTGCTGGTATTACAAACACAGAACACTGCTGGTATTACAAACACAGAACACTGTCGGTATTACAAACACAGAACACTGCTGGTATTACAAACACAGAACACTGCTGGTATTACAAACACAGAACACTGCTGGTATTACAAACACAGAACACTGCTGGTATCATAAACACAGAACACTGCTGGTATTACAAACACAGAACACTGTCGGTATTACAAACACAGAACACTGCTGGTATTACAAACACAGAACACTGCTGGTATTACAAACACAGAACACTGCTGGTATTACAAACACAGAACACTGCTGGTATTACAAACACAGAACACTGCTGGTTTTACAAACACAGAACACTGCTGGTTTTACAAACACAGAACACTGCTGGTATTACAAACACAGAACACTGCTGGTATTACAAACACAGAACACTGCTGGTATTACAAACACAGAACACTGTCGGTATTACAAACACAGAACACTGCTGGTATTACAAACACAGAACACTGCTGGTATTACAAACACAGAACACTGTCGGTATTACAAACACAGAACACTGCTGGTATTACAAACACAGAACACTGTCGGTATTACAAACACAGAACACTGCTGGTATTACAAACACAGAACACTGCTGGTATTACAAACACAGAACACTGCTGGTATTACAAACACAGAACACTGCTGGTATTACAAACACAGAACACTGTCGGTATTACAAACACAGAACACTGCTGGTATTACAAACACAGAACACTGTCGGTATTACAAACACAGAACACTGCTGGTATTACAAACACAGAACACTGCTGGTATTACAAACACAGAACACTGTCGGTATTACAAACACAGAACACTGCTGGTATTACAAACACAGAACACTGCTGGTATTACAAACATAGAACACTGCTGGTATTACAAACACAGAACACTGCTGGTATTATAAACACAGAACACTGCTGGTATTACAAACACAGAACACTGCTGGTATTACAAACACAGAACACTGCTGGTATTACAAACACAGAACACTGCTGGTTTTACAAACACAGAACACTGCTGGTATTACAAACACAGAACACTGCTGGTATTACAAACACAGAACACTGCTGGTATTACAAACACAGAACACTGCTGGTATTACAAACACAGAACACTGCTGGTTTTACAAACACAGAACTGCTGTTATTACAAACACAGAACACTGCTGGTATTACAAACACAGAACACTGCTGGTATTATAAACACAGAACACTGCTGTTATTACAAACACAGAACACTGCTGGTATTACAAACACAGAACACTGCTGGTATTACAAACACAGAACACTGCTGGTATTACAAACACAGAACACTGCTGGTATTACAAACACAGAACACTGCTGGTATTACAAACACAGAACACTGCTGGTATTATAAACACAGAACACTGCTGGTATTACAAACACAGAACACTGCTGGTATTACAAACACAGAACACTGCTGGTATTATAAACACAGAACACTGCTGGTATTACAAACACAGAACACTGCTGGTTTTACAAACACAGAACTGCTGTTATTACAAACACAGAACACTGCTGGTATTACAAACACAGAACACTGCTGGTATTACAAACACAGAACACTGCTGGTATTACAAACACAGAACACTGCTGGTATTACAAACACAGAACACTGCTGGTATTACAAACACAGAACACTGCTGGTATTACAAACACAGAACACTGCTGGTATTACAAACACAGAACACTGCTGGTATTACAAACACAGAACACTGCTGGTATTACAAACACAGAACACTGCTGGTATTACAAACACAGAACACTGCTGGTATTACAAACACAGAACACTGCTGGTATTACAAACACAGAACACTGCTGGTATTATAAACACAGAACACTGCTGGTATTACAAACACAGAACACTGCTGGTATTACAAACACAGAACACTGCTGGTATTACAAACACAGAACACTGCTGGTATTACAAACACAGAACACTGCTGGTTTTACAAACACAGAACTGCTGTTATTACAAACACAGAACACTGCTGGTATTACAAACACAGAACACTGCTGGTATTACAAACACAGAACACTGCTGGTATTACAAACACAGAACACTGCTGGTATTACAAACACAGAACACTGCTGGTTTTACAAACACAGAACACTGCTGGTTTTACAAACACAGAACACTGCTGGTTTTACAAAAACAGAACACTGCTGGTATTACAAACACAGAACACTGCTGGTATTATAAACACAGAACACTGCTGGTTTTACAAACACAGAACACTGCTGGTTTTACAAACACAGAACACTGCTGGTTTTACAAACACAGAACACTGCTGGTATTACAAACACAGAACACTGCTGGTTTTACAAACACAGAACACTGCTGGTTTTACAAACACAGAACACTGCTGGTATTATAAACACAGAACACTGCTGGTATTATAAACACAGAACACTGCTGGTATTATAAACACAGAACACTGCTGGTATTATAAACACAGAACACTGCTGGTATTATAAACACAGAACACTGCTGGTATTATAAACACAGAACACTGCTGGTATTATAAACACAGAACACTGCTGGTATTATAAACACAGAACACTGCTGGTATTACAAACACAGAACACTGCTGGTTTTACAAACACAGAACTGCTGTTATTACAAACACAGAACACTGCTGGTATTACAAACACAGAACACTGCTGGTATTACAAACACAGAACACTGCTGGTATTACAAACACAGAACACTGCTGGTATTACAAACACAGAACACTGCTGGTATTACAAACACAGAACACTGCTGGTATTACAAACACAGAACACTGCTGGTATTACAAACACAGAACACTGCTGGTATTACAAACACAGAACACTGCTGGTATTACAAACACAGAACACTGCTGGTATTACAAACACAGAACACTGCTGGTATTACAAACACAGAACACTGCTGGTATTACAAACACAGAACACTGCTGGTATTATAAACACAGAACACTGCTGGTATTACAAACACAGAACACTGCTGGTATTACAAACACAGAACACTGCTGGTATTACAAACACAGAACACTGCTGGTATTACAAACACAGAACACTGCTGGTTTTACAAACACAGAACTGCTGTTATTACAAACACAGAACACTGCTGGTATTACAAACACAGAACACTGCTGGTATTACAAACACAGAACACTGCTGGTATTACAAACACAGAACACTGCTGGTATTACAAACACAGAACACTGCTGGTTTTACAAACACAGAACACTGCTGGTTTTACAAACACAGAACACTGCTGGTTTTACAAAAACAGAACACTGCTGGTATTACAAACACAGAACACTGCTGGTATTATAAACACAGAACACTGCTGGTTTTACAAACACAGAACACTGCTGGTTTTACAAACACAGAACACTGCTGGTTTTACAAACACAGAACACTGCTGGTATTACAAACACAGAACACTGCTGGTTTTACAAACACAGAACACTGCTGGTTTTACAAACACAGAACACTGCTGGTATTATAAACACAGAACACTGCTGGTATTATAAACACAGAACACTGCTGGTATTATAAACACAGAACACTGCTGGTATTATAAACACAGAACACTGCTGGTATTATAAACACAGAACACTGCTGGTATTATAAACACAGAACACTGCTGGTATTATAAACACAGAACACTGCTGGTATTATAAACACAGAACACTGCTGGTATTATAAACACAGAACACTGCTGGTATTAAAAACACAGAACACTGCTGGTATTAAAAACACAGAACACTGCTGGTATTATAAACACAGAACACTGCTGGTATTATAAACACAGAACGCTGCTGGTATTAAAAACACAGAACGCTGCTGGTATTACAAACATGTTGTTGTCGTTTGTCCCTCACAAGTGATGATGACCAGTCCTTTCATCCAATGGTGACTGGTTTAGACTTTGTAAGTGTGCAGATGGCTGATAAGGCCAATTCTAGCACTGAATGTTCTTGAGCAGTGTGGACAGGGAATTGAAGCCGCATCTCTCTTGGTGATTTGCTTCAGTGTCTTTCCTGGCTTGTCTTTTCTGAATTGGTGTTCTGGCAGCTTCATGGGCCACAGCTCCTCGATGAAGAGAGAAGCACCAGGATGAGCGGTCACATGTAGCAACTTCCCAGGTTTTAGGATCAATATAAAAGTCCTGTCAGTGAGGTCATGAGGCTGTCCACATTTCTTCTATCCACCTTGATTTTGTTTTTCATTTTAGTAACCCACCATAATAAATTCTTTTTGGCTGTCGGTGGTCAGGCATGTGGACTTTATGACCTGTCCAGCGATTTTGTGATTGTCTTAGAATCAAGTAAATACTGGACAGTCCAGCTCTGTTAAGGACATCAGTGTCAGGGATCCTGTCTTGCTATTTTATGTTCAGCAACTTTCTGAGGCATACTGTGTGGAAATAGTTCAGATTCTTAGAATGGCACTGGTAAACGGTCCATGTTTCACATGCATAGAGAAGTACAGGAAGTACGACAGCTTTGTACACTGAGCTCCGTCTGCAGGCTGATGCCAGCTCTGTTCCTGACGAAGTCTACCAAATTCGCTGCTGGCTGTGGAAATCCTTGTACTGATCTCTAGATCTATGTTAACTTTATGAGCGAGTAAGCTGCCAAGGTATGTAAATCTGTTTCATGTCTTGAGTGCTCTATCCTTAACTATGATGCTTGGTTCAGGCAGACCTGTCCCTGGGGCTGGCTGGAACATTATTTCAGTTTTGTCAGTGCTAATGACAAGCCCAAAGTTTGTACAGGCTTTGGATAATTTGGTTACACTATGTTATAGTTCAGGCTCTGAGCTGGCACCGATAGCACAGTCATTAGCGACAAGTAATTCTCTAATGGTGTCTGACTTGACACTGATTTTAGCACTTAGCCTCGTGAGATAAAATACACCGCTATCAATGCGATATCTGATAACGATACAAGTATCTCTATCTCTAAAAGCATCAATCAACATAGTGGAGGATATGATACTAAACAGTATTGATGCAAGCACACACCCTTGCTTTACTCCCTTTGAGACCCTCACAGGCTCTGTCACTTATGTGTCAATTAATCAATGCAATAAGATTAGGTGTACTGAGATACTGGTTCTTCAATAGGTCGGGTAGGGATGAGAGTTGTCTTGTCTCTAATGACTGTCCATGTCAAAGTGGTCAAGCTGTTTGCCACGCATTCTGAAGGTCCAGGTTCGTTCGATGGTGGTGCCCTCCAGTTCATGAGTGCAATTTGTAAGGAGATTCCTGGGGTTCGTCACCGGAGGTAAGGAGTTCGTGCATTGTGCAGCGCTCTCAGCAGGCAGGCAGCCGTTTTGTAGGGAGAGAGAGACGGAGCCATATGGGATAAACCCGGTGCAATGAAGTCAATCCTCTTGAATTTAACCTTTAATCAAAAAAAATAAACATTTGACCAACAGCTGTTTTTACTTTGTCCTGCAGGTATTGCACCACACTGCTCCCTCCAAATATTATCTGGATAAATACTTGCAGACTGAGATCTGTAATTTCATTGGGGGTTAGATTAGGTGGGATGCTAGGGTGTTTAATGAAACCTGTGGGGTACACATTCATAACTGAAGCTGTCCTGATGGTTTCAGTTTGTGCTGCCATTTTAACAGACCAGTCGGAAATTGTTGAGGTGATGTGGTCAAAATCATACTAAACTTACTTCCCAAGACTAGGTCATCCTGGAAGCAAAGGTTCATTAGATCATTAACAAAAAAACATTAAAAACATGTTTATGGTCCAAATGGTTTTCCAGCAGAACATATTAAAGCCACTATACTGTTTTTGATGAGTTATTTATATGTTCAACTACTGTAAACTGCAAACACATCTGTTGTTTACTGTTTAATGTGACTGAATAATGATGATTCCCTACTTTACATGAATGGTACAGTCACTAAACATGTGATATAAGGAAATCAACGTGGGAGTAAGAAAACTGGATAACTCACCCAATGCAGTGTGTCCTTTGGTGTGTTTCAGAATATCACTATGTGTCTTTGGCATGTCTTCATCTTTGGGTAAGTGGTAGCGGGTAAAGGACATGAAACAGTAGAACTTGGACTGTGACTTGTGTGAAAAGTTGGGTGACGTCATCAACTCCTTCCCAAAGAAGCTCCACAGCTCATAACTTTAAATAAACATCAGGATGATCAAAGATAATCAGTGAACTAAATTTTAGCAGTCACAATAAAAAAAAATAAAAAAAAAGTTTAATACATAACTAAATCATCCATGTTTCTTCCTCTTTTACTTCTTCTGACACCTTCAACTGTCACACTTCATACATTTTTTTTCTCCAACTTTTTTTTGCATGCAACTTTCAAAGTGTAATTGGCCTGTTGTGTTGTTTAAAGCTAGGCTGTGATATGTGCACCTTCCGTTAGAAGCCTGTAAACACATGCTTGTTAAAGGGCCGTGGATCTATTCGCACCCCCCTCCCTTTTTCCGCAAGTGATCTAGAAACCACACTTAGAGAACTTTTTTTTAATCGTAACTGATCTGTGTTTGCTGATATCACCACAGAATGTGCCCTAAAAAACAGTAACTGATCTGTGTTTGCTGATATCCCCACAGAATGTGTCCTTAAAAACTGTAACTGATCTGTGTTTGCTGATATCACCGCAGAATGTGTCCTAAAAACTGTAACTGATCTGTGTTTGCTGATATCACCATAAAATGTGTCCTAAAAACTGTAACTGATCTGTCTAGAGCCTGAAGATTGTTATGTGTCCTCTTTTGGTGCTGTTCATGTTTCCAGGCCCAGGATTAGAGTAACTTCCCTTGCCATTCATACCTGCTTAGGTCGCTGGACCTCTCCTATGTTGCGGTGGTGTCATGTTTTCCTTATTGTGAACGGTGTAACCGTTGCCACTTTTCTTGTCCTCTCACCCCTAGCTTGCATGATTATTTTCACGTTCTGCTACCTGTACGACGGTTTGAGAGTTAACCAAATACTGCTGAATTGTCTACTTTTGGTAACCTTATATTGTTAAATTGTCTACTCTTGGTAACCTAATACTGCTGAGTTATCTACTCTTGGTAACCTAATATTGTTAAATTGTCTACTTTTGGTAACCGTATATTGTTGAATTGTCTACTTTTGGTAACCTTATATTGCTTAATTGTCTACTCTTGGGAACCTTATACTGCTGAATTCTCTACTTTTTGTAACCTTATATTGTTGAATTGTCTACTCTTGTTAACCTAATACTGCTGAATTGTCTACTCTTGGTAACCTAATATTGTTGAATTGTCTACTTTTGGTAACCTTATATTGTTGAATTGTCTACTCTTGGTAACCTAATACTGCTGAGTTATCTACTCTTAGTAACCTAATATTGTTGAATTGTCTACTCTTGGTAACCTCATACAGCTGAGTTATCTACTCTTGGTAACCTACTATTGTTGGGTTCTCTAATCTTGCTAGCTTGATACAGAGATTGGTTTAATCTTGGCAAACCAATGTGATTATTTTTCAATGTTCAGACGTTGCAGATTTTTATAGACATATTGTGTGGGTTTGTCCTTGATCAAGAAAATTATAATAGCTGTCACTGAGCAATGTCAAAAACAATCATGTATTACCTGTCAACCACCTGAAGAAACAACCACACACCATATACAAATGGAAACTGCATAGATTATTATTAGTAGTTATCAGTGATACAGGAGTGTCTTTGGTCATGTGATGAGAAGGAAACATCTGGAGTACATCATGACAGTGGGAAAGCTGGAGGGGCGGAGAGGCACAGGGAGACCCAGAGAACAGATGCTGGAAGGTTTGACATCATGGCATGGAGGGTCATTTGTGTCAGAGTTGACTGAAAGTACATGAGACAGAAGGCTGTGAACAGACATAACTACCAACGCCACACGGCATGGACTTTAAGAAGAATTATGTGGCAACCATGACATGACTGTTGTCATCATGGTGGAACAGTGCAATGGTTCTGAGTGGATGGGTAAGACTGGCAGAAGTAAGCGAGGAATATTATACAGGTAGCCAAAGAAGAAAAGTATGCTACATAGAACTGGTGTTATAAGCCTCCACTCATGAGGGATATGCTGAAGAAGGGATCTGAGTGCTTATAGACTTGTCCAATGTGCAGTAAAGATAATCAATCAATTAATTAATTAACTAAAGTGAGTTAAAAGAATGAACTAACCCTACCTACAACATAGAATACGAAACTCACCCTGTCATAGAAAACCCAACTCACCCTCACATAGAATACCCAACTCACCCTGTCATTAAATACCTAACTCACCCTGTCACAGAAAACCCAACTCACCCTGTCATAAAATACCCAACTCACCCTGCCATTGAATACTCAACTCACCCTGTCATAGAATACGCCTCTGCCAGGGTCAACTTGCTCTTAAACTCATGACAAACAGGCAGGTTCTCACAGTCTGTCTCCACCTTGAAGGTGACCCGGCCAAAGCCATGCTCGTTCATCTTCTCTGCCGTCAGGGTCTGGATCACCTCTGCACCAAATGCTATTCTCCGCCTGGCAGACACGGGTGAGCAGTCTGTATTCTCAGGGCCCTGAAGAGTTACAGTCAAAGGTTAAGACAATCCAACAGTTTAAAACCTATAGACAAATTGACTGAAGAAGTGAGTACATCTAAGAGATGCTTGATGAAGAATATAAAAGACGCTTTATGAAGAATATAAAAGAAGCTTTATGAAGAACATAAGAGATGCTTTATGAAGAATATAAGAGAAGCTTTATGAAGAATATAAGGGAAGCTTTATGAAGAATATAAGAGAAGCTTTATGAAGAATATAAGAGAAGCTTTATGAAGAATATAAGGGAAGCTTTATGAAGAATATAAGAGAAGCTTTATGAAGAATATAAGAGATGCTTTATGAAGAATATAAGAGATGCTTTATGAAGAATATAAGAGATGCTTTATGAAGAATATAAGAATAGCTATATGAAGAATATAAGGGAAGCTTTATGAAGAATATAAGAGAAGCTTTATGAAGAATATAAGAGAAGCTATATGAAGAATATAAGGGAAGCTTTATGAAGAATATAAGAGAAGCTTTATGAAGAATATAAGAGAAGCTTTATGAAGAATATAAGAGAAGCTTTATGAAGAATATAAGGGAAGCTTTATGAAGAATATAAGAGAAGCTTTATGAAGAATATAAGAGATGCTTTATGAAGAATATAAGAGAAGCTTTATGAAGAATATAAGAGATGCTTTATGAAGAATATAAGAGATGCTTTATGAAGAATATAAGAGATGCTTTATGAAGAATATAAGAGAAGCTATATGAAGAATATAAGGGAAGCTTTATGAAGAATATAAGTGAAGCTTTATGAAGAATATAAGAGAAGCTTTATGAAGAATATAAGAGAAGCTTTATGAAGAATATAAGAGATGCTTTATGAAGAATATAAGAGAAGCTTTATGAAGAATATAAGAGATGCTTTATGAAGAATATAAGGGAAGCTTTATGAAGAATATAAGAGATGCTTTATGAAGAATATAAGAGAAGCTTTATGAAGAATATAAGAGAAGCTTTATGAAGAATATAAGAGATGCTTTATGAAGAATATAAGAAACCCTTTATGAAGAATATAAGAGAAGCTTTATGAAGAATATAAGGGAAGCTTTATGAAGAATATAAGGGAAGCTTTATGAAGAATATAAGAAACCCTTTATGAAGAATATAAAAGAAGCTTTATGAAGAATATAAGGGAAGCTTTATGAAGAATATATGTTGTTGTTGTTGTTTTTATCGATCCAGCAGCGCATGAGCTTTCGCCCTTTGGCCCAATGCCATGTAGTGGAATTTGCATGTTTTCACAAGCTGTTCTTTTCCTCCGTACAAGGTGTTCCACTTGTCTGGTCTCGGAGGGAGTAGCGTTCTTCTTGTCTCACTGAGTTCTGGGCACTCAAAGAGATGGTGTTCAACAGTTTCGTAGGGGTAGTTACGTAGCTGGCACTCTGGGGAGTGTTGTGGCTGTATTCTGTTTAGGTGTCTATTGAGTGGAGTATGTTGCGTTCTAAGTCTGAAGATGGTGGCCTGGTCTCTTCTTGTTAGATGGTTAATGCTGTCATTAGGATCAGGGCCAGACATATGTCTATAAACCTCTCTTCCAGTGTCTCCCATGGCCCATCTGTTCAACCAAGTCTCTTTGTTTATAGCTCTTATCAGTGTTTTTGCTGTCTGGAGGGTTGTCGCTGTAGGTGGTTGTTCTTGTGTTGCTCCTTTCTTTGCCAATCTCTCAGCTCTGTCATTACCTGGTGTGCCGGAGTGACCTGGAATCCACTGCATCACTATTCAGATGTTGTATGAGGTAATAAGCTGATCAGCATCCAGGATTTTCTTGGCTATATCAGTTCTGCAGCGTTCACTGCCCTCCAGAGCTTGAAGGGCAGACATTGAATCTGTGAAGATGACAATATTTTGGACCTTTGAAGGGTAAACATCCATTACAGTCTTTAGGTGGTATACTGCTGTTTCCAGTGCAATTATTTCAGCTTCATAGTTTGAACAGAATTCCCCGCATGCATCAAAAATCTCTTCAACAGATCCATCGGGATAACCTATATAGATTCCGTAACCTGCTTTAATGGTAGCTTTAAATGCTGATCCATCAGTATAGACATGTATCCATTCTTGGGGGTAAGAATAAACGGTCTTTAGTGATGAGTTCATAAGAGCGATTGGGTCGGACTGTTTGGTTTCCTCGCCTACCAATTTAGTTCGGACTTCTGGAGCTTTAAAGCGAGCATGTGGTGGTAGGTTTCTTGCAACATTCTGAATTCCTTGATGTCTTTCTGGGAGGTGGTATCTGTCCTGAATTTCATTAACACAGTGTAAAACCGATTTGTGCTTTATTCTTTGTTTGTATTCCCAGTTTTCTACAAGATGTCTATTAGGATGGTTACGATTTTTCCTAACGCATCTTTCATAAATTTCTAAAGTGGCTTTTTCTCTCCGCAACCCGAAGGGTTCCACATTTGTATAGATTTCACATGCAGCAGTTGGTGTAGACTGCATAGCTCCGCAGATTAATCGGAGGGCATTATTTTGTACTCTGTCAAGAGTCTCTAGGTTAGTTTTGGAGCAAGTTGTAAGCAGTGAGTTGTTGTACTCTATCACAGAGCGAACATATCCTAGATATAAGCCCCTCAGAGTTTCCTTGTCTGATCCCCATGATGTACCTGCAAGTCTCTTTAATAACTGTAACCGCCTCAATGCCTTATTCCTGATGTTTTCAATATGGTTCTTGAGGCTGAGCTGCCGGTCAAGTGTGACTCCAAGGTATGTGGGATGCTCTTCTTTCATCACTTGGTGTTTGTCTAACCTCAGGTTAATATTCTTCCTTGCTACTTGGTGGCTTTTGGTAAAGATTGTGTAGACCGTCTTTGCACAGTTAACCTTGAGTTTCCATCTTTGGCAGTACTCATGCAGTCTTCTAAGGTCTCCATTCAGTCTTTTGGCTCCACTTTCCACATTTTCATGACTCTGCCATATTGCTAGGTCATCAGCGTACAAGGCTTTTTCGGCTTTGATTTGTTCTGGCAGGTCATTGATAAAGATTAGGAATAGTGTACAGCTCAATGATGAGCCTTGTGGCAAGCCCTCCTCCGAGACTTCTTTAGAAGAGATTGCGTTGTGCATCTTAGTCTGGATTGTTCTATCTATCAGGAAGTATTTCACCCAGTTATACAATCTGCCATGTATTCCTATGCTCATCATCTTCATCAGGAGACCTTTTCTCCATACTCTGTCATAGGCCTGCTGGAGGTCGACAAAGACTGCCACTGTGTGTTTCTTATTCTGGAAGCCATCATGTATTCTTTGTGTCAGTCTGAACAGCTGGTCTTCTGTGCAGTTGTTGGTTCTGAAGCCTGCCTGTTCATGGCATAGAACACCAGAACTCTCAAGGAACCAATATAAGCGCCTGTTTATCATTCTTTCTGCAACTTTGCCCAAGGATGATGTTAAGGATATTGGGCGGTAGCTTTTGGGGTCACCTGGTGGCTTTTTGGTTTTAAGAATGGGGATGATATATGCATTACTCCATGCCTTTGGAAGTTTGCTTGACCTCCAAGTTTTATTAATAAGCCTAAGAACTACTTCTCTCCCAGACCGGCCAAGATGTAGCAGCATTTCGTTGTGGATCTTATCTGGGCCTGGAGATTTTCTAGGTTTTAATTTCTTCAGGGCTTGCTCTAATTCATCCATGCTAAATTCATTTTAAAAAAGGGAGTCACTGGCTGTTGGAGCTCTCTCTTGTTTCTTCAACTGAGAGAGTTGTGTTCTATTGAGTTCTGACAGCTCACCTGCTCTGTTAACTGAGGCAAAATAATGATTGAAATGTTCTGCTTTCTTCTTGTCTTCAGTGATTGTCTTACTCCCATCTGTCACTGGTTTTGGGTTCACCCTTCTACTTTCTCCGGAGAGGTTTTTAACTAAAGTCCATGCTTTATTTCCATTCTGTCTAAGGTATAAGTTGGAGCAAGTTTCTGTCCATTTATCTCTTTTAGCCTTATTAACTACAAGCTTTACTCTGGCACATGCTTTATTGTATTGGATCTTTGCTTCTGTTGAACGTGCAGTTTCGAGCCATATTCTTGCTTTATTCCTTTCAGATATAGTATTTTGAATTTCTTGTTTCCAAAAAGGTTTAAATGCCTTCCGGCTGCCCCTTGGGATGGCTTTTGACGCTGCATTCAGGATTGCTTGTGTAATGTCTTCACAAAAAGTTTCCACACAGCTGTTGTCAATTCTTCCCAGGAGGCAGTCAGATGTTTCCTGAAATAGTTTCCAGTTTGCTTTTCGGAAATTCCAACGGGTTCTCTGCTTGAAGCGTAATTTAGCGGTGGTGCTTACAGTTGTGAGTATAGGTTTGTGGTCACTTCCTATGTCGTCCAGGACTTGAGGATAGCTTGCGTCTGCTAAGTCGGATGAGCAGATGGTCAGGTCTGGTCGGCTGAGAGATAGGTGGGCCCTGTGTAACAGTGTAGGTGTAGACTCTGTGTCCTGCAGCACTAATAGGTTAGTTGTTTCACAAGTAGATGTGAAGAATATAAGAGAAGCTTTATGAAGAATATAAGAGATGCTTTATGAAAAATATAAAAGACGCTTTATGAAGAATATAAGAGAAGCTTTATGAAGAATATAATAGATGCTTTATGAAGAATATAAGGGAAGCTTTATGAAGAATATAAGAAACCCTTTATGAAGAATATAAGGGAAGCTTTATGAAGAATATAAGAAACCCTTTATGAAGAATATAAGGGAAGCTTTATGAAGAATATAATAGATGCTTTATGAAGAATATAAGGGAAGCTTTATGAAGAATATAAGAAACCCTTTATAAAGAATATAAGAGAAGCTTTATGAAGAATATAAGGGAAGCTTTATGAAGAATATAAGAAACCCTTTATGAAGAATATAAAAGAAGCTATATGAAGAATATAAGAGATGCTTTATGAAAAATATAAGGGAAGCTTTATGAAGAATATAAGGGAAGCTTTATGAAGAATATGAAAGAATATAAGAAAGCTTTTTATGAA